GGGCGGCCGTGCCCCGGGGCGGCCCGCTGCGCGCGCGAAAGGCGGCCGTTGGGCGGCTAACGGCCGGGCAGCGCCGCGCGCCGGGTCGCCCATGCGGCACTCGGCAGGGCTGGGCCTCGCGGGAGGAGGGCTCGAGCCGCAGGAGCGCTGCAAAAACGTGAAAGGGAAAAAGAAAAGCTTGGCTGGTCCCCGTGTTTCCTGTGCTGATGCAACTGAAGCGATTAGTGCTGTAAAATGTCTCATTTTCATGTTGCCACCTTGGGTAAAGTGTGGCTTTCCACCAGGCAGGCTTACAGTAGGGAAATGAAGGGAGCCTTACGGAAACTGTGGTAAAATGCCAGAGGGATAGTCCATCCAGAAGCAGCAGGCTCGTTCCATTCTCGTTTCCCTTATTTTGTTCCCAACTGTTGCCATTGACTACCCCATAAAGAGCCTACAATTACAAGATTAAGCCGTTCTCTGACTAATCACAAAGTTGCAATACTTCTTGCTTCAGTTCCCGCGCATTCACATGAAGCTGGTATATTTGAACACCGAATGAAGCCCGTGGCTTGCAAAACAACACCATGAGCGCGGAGCAAGATGTGCTCTAATTAGAATTATGCAAAGCAGCCTCCCTGAACTGCTTACGGCGCGAGGCACAAAGCGCCCGCGCCAACCCCAGCCTTATCTGCCCGCCCAGATGCTGATCTTGCGGCAGGGAAAGGGCCTGTTTGTTAAACACCCCGGTAAATGCCAGGCGCATTATCACAATCTTACGTGCATCATTCAGATGTGCCGCAGAACAGCAGCATAATTTTGAATGTTGCTGATAAACCAGACCTCATTTTTTTTTTTTTTTCCTAAATATGTGCAGCAACCAAACACACTTTGCTTGAGAAACTTTCGGCACGGTACCCTGGGCTGTTGCTGGCGCCAGAGGCTGCGGCTGCAGCAGCGCCGCTGGATCCTGCGCCTCCCGCCGCTGGATCCTGCGCCTCCCGCCGCTGGATCCTGCGCCTCCCGCCGAGCTCCTGGCCCATCCCTGCGTGCAGAGGCGAAGACCGGCACAGAAGGGCCCTCAAGGCCGTCGTCTCCCTCCTTTGCACTGTCCTCTGCTCTGGTTACGGCTTGGCAGGACCCACTAATTCCTCTAAACCTTTGCAGTTATTAGTCAAAGAAGGTATCATAAAACCTCAGGATAATGTGCGCTTATATAGTTGTTATGAAGCGGTAATTCTGGAATTACAATAATCCTCTTCATATTGTTGCTCGTATTTTGTTTCATTGTTCATGTATTTCTTTTAAAATGATAAATACCCTTAACTATCATGGGAAGGTGCCAAGCTGGAATCATAAAAGCGCAGAGACAAGCCTTGAGGTTTTTACTCATTAAGTTGAATGAATATTTTGACCTAATAATATTTGCAGTGTCAGAATCACAGTGACAGAAGCGCTAGGAACACCATTTACCATTTCATACGTGAACTGACCACGTGGTTCAACAAAACATCTGCCTATGTCCATCCCTATTTGTGATAGTTCCCAAGCCGAAACACAGCTTCACAAACAGGCTCAAGATCCTGACTTAACTCAGGCCTCTCAGGCCTTTTTTTTTTTTTTTTTCCCCCCCTTTTAATGTTTTGAACTATGAAGCTTGAGAAAAACAGAGATGTGCAACCAAGGAAAACAAAAATTAGCAAAAGGATGAGAATGAGGGAGCAGAAAGAAGACAAAGTTATTTCAAACGGGCTCGAAATATCTGGGTGGCTCCGGGAGGTGGGAGCAGGCAGAGAGGCCAACAGGGAAGCCTGAGCCTCGGGTGCCCACCCGAAACGAAAGTGAAACAGCGAGCTGCGGAAGGGAGAAGAGATCCGGCCAGGGTGGGAAGAGAGGCCCCGCGCAGCGGGACGGGCGCCCGCAGGACCTGCTGCAGCCCCTGCAGCTGCCCGTGACACGCGCAGCACCAGCACCGCTGCAATGTGCAACACTGCTGCAGCTGCTGCAATGTGCAGCACCGCTGCAGCTGCAGCTGCAATGTGCAGCACCGCTGCTGCTGCAGCTGCTGCAGCTGCAGCTTGGCCTCCCACTGCGTGCTGCACTGCCCCGTGGGCCCGGCCGCCGCGGGCCGCAGGCCAGAGGGGGCTCCAGGCACGGCACAGACAAGGCGCCACGGGCGCAAACAAGGCGCCGCTCTGGGCTCGCAGCTTCTCCCACAAAATCCGGGCAAACAAAGAGCGCCGGCGCTGCCGTATTTCTGCCCGCCGGGCTCAAAGCATCTCCAGCGACGCTTTAATACACACACACTGTCACAGCTCTGGACTGAATTTCCTCCTACGGGAGGAAATTACAGAGAAAACTGCAGAACTATCCACGTACCTTTTCTGTTGTTATCTGGTTTCCTTTTTTTTTTTTATCACATTAGTGCCTGACCAAGGCAAAAGTTTTCCATTAATTTCGGCCACCTATTAAACCAGTTGCAAAGTTCTTGTTTGTTTGCTCCTTAATCACTGCTCATGACCTATAAACCTGGTTCATGATGATGTTAATGAGGTTAATCTGCAGCCTGAGACTCTTGATACGGAAGGTGTAGAATATACATGTTACACACATATATATGTTTATTACCTATATTGGTTGTTTCGCTGCTGTTCCCCAACTAGTGTATTCCTCAGGACTGGATCCAATCCTGTTGAACTACTGGAAGTGTTTTCACTTTTACAAAGAGATGTAACAAATGCACGGTGAGGCTCTTCCATCCTTACCTTGGGATGAAGGGTCAACTGGGAAACAAAAGCTTCCTTGCTTTCCCTTCCCAGATTGCAAGAGGATCAGCTGCCTCTTCACACAAAGCTCACATAAAGGTGAGCTTAATTTAATTAATTCACTGTCAGTAACACTGAGTTTTGTCAGGTCCCTTACCCAGACTCGTGAGGTATAATGGAAACATCACACGAATAAACTGGAAGAGAATTTAAGAGCCCCGTTCAAGCTTTGGATCAGTGTTGCAGACTCGGAAATTTTATCTGTCTTCTTGCAGTTGCTATTTTTCTGAGTATCTTACCTTTCCTGATATGTTTTAGCCCTGAGATCTGGAAGAAACCTGAGAACATGACTTGAACAAAGTGAAATTCACTGAAAATAGAACCCACTGAACGGTACTTTTTGTTGTTATTGCCATTTCTTTGACGCCATGGGGTGGCCCCACACTTGGGGCCCGCAGCTGGGGGGCCAGCAAGGTGGCTGCGCTGCCGCCGTGCTGCTGCAGACCCCATGTGGAAACCACCCTCTTCCCAAGCCCTGTATCCTTCCCCCCTCCCCAGTGCGAGGACACCTTTCAACACTGGTTTCCATACTGAGATCAGAATCTCCTACAAAACCTGTACGGGGAGGAAACCTTGATCATTTAAAGCTGCATTTGTGCTGCACTTCAGGACGCATTCACGGTGCATTCCTTCACATTGCTTTTCCAGTCCACGTGCACGGAATGCACTAGGGGCCTTCCCAGGGCTCCAAATTCAGCAGAGGTAACGCAGTGCACAGGATAACCCATAGCCCCGGTCACATGAGCATCTCACCTGGAACAAACACAGTATTTAAATAGCGCTCGAGCAGTTTAAACAAGGCTTTAAAGTTAATAAAAGCCAAGTGCGGCGCGGGCAGCGGGCGTGCCCCGAGGCTGAGCCCCACGTGGAAAGGCCCTTTCCAGGGCAAAGTTGCTGGTTACTCATTCGCGAGGGCGGCCGCCGTTGCGCAAGGCGGGCGCGGGTTCCCGCGCGCCGTCGCCGTCGGCGGGAAGCGCTGCGGAGCCGCGCGCTCCTGCCAGGATGCAGCCGCCCGCGGGACCCGCTGCTCCGCTCGGCTGCGCGCGGGCCGCGGCGCCGGCAGCGCCGGCACCTCCGCGGCTGCTGAGGCTCGGGGCGCTTCTCAGCTGCGCCCACACGGATCCGGCTGCTGCAGCCTGCGGGAGGGAAGGCTGAGGGGGAACCTGATCAGTGTCTGTGAATACCCCAAGGGAGGCAGTGAGGAGGAGGGAGCGGCCTCTTTTCAGCGGTGGCCACTGACAGAACTAGAAGAATTGGCCA